TTGGGAATGAGGCTTTTCCAAGAGAGAATCCCAGCGGCAGGCAGTGGTTGGCTCATACAGGGTTTTCTCTGTGTGACTCGGGAAGGAGACCGAAGTGGGGCACCTCTCTTGGCTGGAGGAGAGCCGGCCGCTCTTTGGATCAGAGAGAAGGGTCTCCTAGCTCGGCATCAGGGCTCCAGAGACACCCCTGCCCAGGGTCAGAAACAGCCATGCATTTGGCGAGCACTCCCTCCTGGGCACTCCCAGCCACCGCTGTCCGGGACAGAAGACAGGAGGACAGTGGTTCTCAAACTTGGCATCTGGGGCCTTATCCTCAAAGGGCTTACTCTTAAGGAGTTCCAGGGTTTCTGGTTTTGTTTTTCCTTTCCCCAACTTTTTTCCTCTGGGGACAGTATATGCTTTCCGAAGTGACTGTGAAAGGTAGTACAGGGGACAGCCCATGCCCAGGGTCCCCTTGCTGTCACCCTCTCACTCCAGGAAAATGTTTGTGTGAGTGTGTGTGTGTGTGTGTGTGTGTGTTTACTAATCCCCACGTTTGGACTTGTATGCAGGACCCAAATCAGATCAGAGCAGTCCTTCCGCAGTTTCTGGGAGCGTCCCCTTGCTCCCTTCTTCCAGCTGTCCCTTGGCTTATGGCAACCTCCCTCCAGCCCCCACCCCAGCTTCAGCAAGTCTTTCTCCCCATTGTTTCTCTAACTTTATCTCCTGTAAGGTGGACACACCCAACACTAGTTTTAGAGCCCACCCTAGCTCTAGGCTGGCCTCACCTCAGGATTCCTCCCCAATGACCCTACCCAACAAGGGTCACGTAGGATGGGTGGATCTCCTCTGGCAGATATGGCTTAGCCCACTCCAGGGGTTAAGGCAGAGGCACTGTGTTCACGCTGGCAGCTGTTGGGGTGGGGGAGTCCTCTGCCTCAGTTTCTTCATGGGTGGAATGGGAGTGGTGATAAGATGGGGCGGCACGAGGGGTTTGCTCAATCAGTGAGCAGAGAAAACACCTGCTCCCGTACCAGGCTGGCAGTGGCCACAGCTCTGGCTGGTGAGCTGCTGCTTAGGGCGAGGCAGCACGTGTTCCCTCCCCGGAAGGCTGGGAGTTTGGAAGCCCAAGGAGGAATGGCTTTGAATTGTCCCTGGATGAGTGCAAAGTCCCAGGGTTGGGGTGTGGGACCTTCCTGCATCAGATCTGAGAGCCGGCAGAGAGTGCTCACCCAGAGTTAGTTTCTTGGGAAAAGCTGAGATGGTCCAGCCCCGGGTGGGATGAGTGGGCCCAGCGGAAGACTTTCTTGTGCCTTAGAGATGAGCCAGGCTGCTAGAACCTGAGGCCTCCTCTCTCCCCCTCTCTGAATTGTAAATATATATGGAACATGACATTTGCTATTTCATCTCCCTCACATGTGCTGCTCAGTGCTCATGTGTTCAACCTTCACCATTATGTGTACATTTCTTAATCACCAAAGCGCAGTGTCCCCTAAACACTGATCCTCCCTCCAGCCCACCCCGCAAACTCCCTGTCATCCAGTTGACTCTGACTCATACAGCCCTGTCAGGCAGAGCAGCACGGCCGCTGTGGGAGTCCCAGGCTGTCAATCTGTAGAGGAGCAGAAAGCCCCACCTGCCCTTCTAGATGGGTGAATGAATTGCTGACCTAGCATTTAGCAGCCCAGTGGCACCCCGAGATGTTAGGAAGGACTTCCTGGTGTCTAACTGGACCACAGTCAGCACTTGATGGCCGTCTGGCTTCCACTCCCGACTGGTGGGCACAGCAGTGCTGCTGTGAACACTGGTGTGCCCCGATCTGGGCCTCTTCTTGCTCTCAGCCACCGTGCGAGATGGAGTCTCTGTTCGTAGCAGTGGAATTGCTGTGTTCACTGGTCCTGCTGTGGGTAACCTTTTGATGAATTTCTTTGGGGATGAACTGTCCCCCTGGCCTCAGTGTTTTCCAGTCCAGATCCCTCCAGGGCTGAGTCGTTCAGGCCAGATGAGAGGATGGGTCTGAAGGAAGCCTGTTGGCCTCACCTGCCCCTTACTTGTCCCTCTTGGGACCTCTCCAGGGAGACAAGGCCAGGCGACTGGCTTTGAGCTACTAGTGCAGCCAGTCTCCCTCCATCCTTCTGCCACGTAAGCTAGGACCCCTGCATGAATTTCTCATTGCTTCTCATGTAGAAGGTACACCCGAGGCATCTTTGGGTGCTGGCCAGGGCTTTGGCTGTAGGGTCTGATGGGGG